GGTGGGGGTTTGACAAATTTTTAAAAGGGTGTGTTTGAACAGCCAGTCCGCTGAGGGGAGGGGTTGGAGGAGGAGGAGGAGGAGGAGGAAGAAGAAGAAGAAGAAGAAGAAGAAGAAGAAGAAGAAGAAGAAGAAGAAGAAGAAGAAAAAAAAGAAGAAAGCAGCAGAAGAAGAACAAGAAAGGAGAAGAAAGGAGAAGAAGAAAAACCAAACTAAGAGCAAGGAGGAGGAGGAGGAGGAGGAGGAGGAGGAGGTGGATGACGGAAAAAAAAAGACAACGACGGAGGTTGAGAAGGAGGAAGAGGAGGAGGAGAGAAGGAGAAGAATTAGTAGGTGGAGGAGGGGGAGGAGAGACGAAGAAGAGACGAGAGGAGGAAGAGGAGGAGAGAAGGACAAGACGAAAGGAGGAGGAGGAGGAGAGAAGAAGCAGAAGATGAGAGGAGGAAAAGGAGCAAGAGGAGGAGGAGGACCTGTCGGTAGTGTATGTGGATGACGAAAAAGAAAAACAAAAGACAACGAGGAAGGAGGTTGAGGAGGAGGAGGGGGGGGAGAGAAGGAGAAGAAAAAGTAGGTGGGGGAGGAGGAGGAGAGAAGAAGAAGAAGACGAGAGGAGGAGAAGGAGAGAAGGAGAAGAAGACGAGAGGAGGAGGAGCAGGAGGAGGAGGACCTGCCGGTACTGTATGTGGATGACGGAAAAAAAAAAGACGATCATGAACGAGGTTGAGGAGGAGGAGGAGGAGGAGAGAAGGAGAAGAATAAGTAGGTGGAGGAGGAGGAGACAAGAAGAAGAAGACGAGAGGAGGAGGAGGAGGAGGAGGAGGAGGAGGAGGAGGAGGACAAGACGAAAGGAGGAGGAGGAGGAGAAGAAGAGAGGAGGAGGAGGAGGTGGAGGAGAGAAGAAGAAGAAGAAGATGAGAGCAGGAGGAGGAGGACCTGCAGGTAATGTATGGGGACGATGGAAGACCAAAAAAAGGACGATGAAGCAGGACGAGGAGGAGGAGGAGAGAAGGCAAAAGTAGGTGGAGGAGGAGGAGGAGAGAAGAAGAAGAAGACGAGACGAGGAGGAGAAGAGGAGGAGGAAGAGGACCTGCGGGTTTTGTATGGCGATGACGAAAAGAAAAAGAAAAAAAAGAAAAAATATATATACCGGGCAGTTCTGTTTGTGACGATATATGCTACGACTTCGCTAGTTTCCTGCTACATTTTTTTCCGGTCAGGTCGAGCGGTAGTGGTCGGGGCCGTTACTAGGCGGCCATGTTGTGCCTCTAGTGCCAGCGGCGTGTCTGGAGTGTATTTTTTGGCTGTGACAGACCTTTCTTTGTTTCGTGGATGTTTTGCTGGCTTGTGATGGGGTGTGAACCGACAGTCTGTAGAGTTTTCCATCTGGTGTGGG